CTTTCTAATAAGTTCTTTGGTAATACTGTGAATGTTGGTCCAAATACCAAACTCAGATCTAACCAGTTGGACTTTGTGTTGCTTATATTGGTGCACTTATTGCAAGAATTCAAGTGAAAGGAGGAGGAGGAAAAGGCAGAAGTTGTTAAGCCAGTATAATTGGTCTTTAAGCTCTATCTTGGGGCTGGATCCCCTCAGGAAGTAGGCTGCTTATTTCTTTATTTAGTTATTTGGATTGAGATAAGATTGGCAGAGGATGTGACTGCTGTTCATTGCCCATGCTTACTCCATCACCAAAGTGCTTTTTACATAAGGGGAGTGAACCATCTGTAGGGCATTAAGCATGGAACGCCTAGGGACGTATCTTAGAGTTCCACAGCTTGTCCTTAGGGAGCTTTTTGACTTTATAGGCTTTCCAGGCCACAGCAGCAGATTTAGATGTAGAGATCCTAGGGAAGCCTGTAAGGGGAAAATGGCTTAATAAACTTTCAGCATTTTTTATCCTCAGCACAAAAACATACACAAAACCACAGACACCTGTACTCTGCATAGCCAGCTGCCAAGCAGGGAATAATCTGTCTCTCTGTCTAGCCCACATTATTCCTGGTCTGTGCTACTTTGAGCCTCTTGTTCTTAGTTTCTCAGAGTTGGACCTTGGTGAATTTCTTCTTACTGCAGGAGTTTGCCTGTGCAGCCCTAGTATCCATCGGAACTGGATCTCTATCCCAAGGTTTTTTGGCCAGCTGATCCTGTGCTCCATAAATGGGACAGTTATAGGGAAGTGGCAGGGTTCCCAATGACGTTGGTTTACTACTGTCTGGAGATGGTCCAGACAGACAGGAACATGACACAAACATTCCAAATGAAGATCCTGAGAATTCAGATGAGATCAAAAATATCTTTTGCAGGAAAGCTGATCTCACCATAGTTAGTGTAACCGCAGCAAGGACTTTAGGAACCTATTTGTATTTCAGTGCTATACCAGGAATCCTATCATCCAGCCAACCACCCATGTCCTACACAAGAACAGGAATGCAACCCTGAGTTCTAAGATGGGTGAGGAGTGGGTTAGGGTCTGGAGCCAATAAAGGCCTTGTACTCACCAAGCTGGTCTTCTAGGAGGCTTTGTATGGCTCCAGGCTGCTGCTCTTGGGCTCTTTCCTTGTCTTCTATGGCATTCTCTGCTGTGTCAGTGTTGTGTGCTTCCATCCATGCCAAGAGTCCCACTGGTCTAGAATCTGGCTATGAGGACACTGAATGAGTTCCTTCCCTGTTCTCAGGACTGAATCATTTCTTGGGTCTTAGTCTGAGTTGGAAGAGATGTTATAAAAGGGAAGAGTTGCCATGTGGGAGGAAATAAAAAGGCTTTTTGCTGGGGACGGAGATTTGGG